AAAAAAAAAACTCAAATTTCATTGTATGTAGCTACACAAGTTTATGTGTGAAATACATATTTGTTTGAACTGCTTTTATGTAGGCCTTGTCTAGAGCTGGTTTAAAATGTTTTTACCCAATACACAACAAACATGAAACATGATCTTGGAGCTTTATTCGAAGAGATAAAGTTGTGAATAGTTGATTGCTCAAGTAGACTCTGTTTTGGTTTCTCCATTGAGTTGATTGTTTGTGTATTTTTCTTGTGTTCTTAAGTTCTGTAAAGTGAAACAAACATCAGTATATTGGTTTCTTGTTAAGTTCATGCTTGAAGTGAAACAAACATCAATATTTTGCTTTTTTGTTAGCTTTGCTTCATTGTTTGGGAGAAGATAAAAATCGTGTCTTTATCCATCAAGAATTTCCCCTTTTTTTCTGATTTTTCTGTAATTTTTCCAATCACCTAGCAGGTACACACATATTTGCTTTGTGTTTCTTGTTCACATGCATTTTGAGTGCGCCCCTTTTGCCCGTTAAATCTCAAGGTTTTACGGAAACCCCAATTTTTACATTAGAATATAGTTTCACATGCATTTTGAGTGCGCCCCTTTTGCCCGTTAAATCTCAAGGTTTAACGGAAAACCCCTAATTTTAAAATTGGAATATAGTGTGGGAATTTCGTTAAATTTTATCAGTTTTTCAAGCTTAAGGGTTATTATATTTGTTATGATCCTTCACATTGTATTGATTCGTACACTAATTGGTGGAGGCAAATTCAGATTTGCCTTGAACTTGTGAATATTAGGTGGCCTCACTGACCTTATATTTCTCAATTTCTTGTTTTTTTTCTCTTACTTCCTATCTTGTTTAAAGTAAAAAATCTTAATTTTTTCAGGCTGCGTGAAAAGTAATCTGCTTTGTTGGTGTATGCATTACCAGTATCTGATTTTATTTTTATTATCCTGTTTGAAGCAAATGTCTAATTTTTCATGTTGCGTGGTAAGACTCTGCTTTGTAGTATGCAGTCATGACGTTTGCTCTGTATTGCGCATTTTATTTTTCTTTAAGAAAGAACAGGTTTAGTTGCAATTTGCGTTATTAAATTATGGCGTGAAGAGTATAAGGCTACTTTTTGTGCAATATTTTACTGCCATTTTTGACTCGTATAATTTTTTTTTACTTTTTTGAGTGTTCTCTTTCCTTATATTTTTCATTAGATCCTTTCAAAAGAGCTTAATTAACTTATTGTTAGTTCTCTCCCACCTTTTTTTTCATCTTCCCTGGACGACGAGATTGGATAACTTATTGTTAGTTCTCTCCCACCTTTTGAATCTGGTAGCTTCTTTTTGGTACTTATCGTTGCTTCTGGTAGATAGTAAAGCTTCCCAAGACTTTGTTTACGTAATTAATTAGTACTAAATATTATATTAATTAGTCCAGAATCATTGGGCTGTGTGAGGGGTGAAATTAACTAATATTACCCAAGTTGATGGCTTGCACCTTGAAATTACAGTATCTTGTATGAACATGATACTTTTCTTAATATTGTATATTTTAGTTTGATGTATGTTGTGGATTTTTTTCACAAGAATGATGCATGATACACAATTTTTGTTGTACAGATTTAACTACTGCTATTTCGTAAAGATCATCAAAGGTATTGCCTACAATGACCGAGATTAACAGGAGAAAGACTGAACTTTTTCTTGTTTTGGAAGAACTATTAAATGAAAGTGTATTTTTCTTGAATACGGCTGTAGCATTAAGACTGGACCATAGGTCCAAATCATCTGAAAAAAAATAGAAAACGAATTAAGTATGTGATGGCGAATAGGATTTTTAAACAAGTAGAACATTTGAATAATTTGGTATCATTGAATGAGTTAGATTGTATGGAAAATTTGAGGATGACTAAGGGAGCTTTCGCTAGGTTATGTTACCTTCTCCGTACAGCTGGCGGTCTGTCTGATTCAAAATATGTATCAGTTACGGAGAAGGTTGCACTCTTTCTTTCTATTATTGCTCATCATAGAAAGATGAAGGTTGTAAAATTTGACTTTAAGAGGTCTAGTCATACTGTGAGCATTTACGTACATGAGGTCCTTTCGACGATTTTGCGTCTTCATTCAATCCTTCTAGTGAAACCTGAGCCAATTGATGATTCAAACAACAATAACAACAGATGGAAATGGTTCAAGGTATATTTTCGTGTTAAAGCTTAGTAAATAACAATTTGCTATAACGATGTTGTAATGGTGATTAATAATCTAAAATTTTGAATCGCAAACATTATTTCATAGGGATGTCTAGGCGCCTTAGACGGAACTCACATTAAAGTGACAGTACCGGAAGTTGATAAGCCAAGGTATCGCACCAGGAAAGGAGAAGTTGCTGTGAACGTACTAGGAGTAGTCGACCGTAACCTAAATTTCGTATATGTCTTGTGTGGATGGGAAGGTTCTGCAGCCGATTGTCGTGTTCTGAAAGATGCAATAAATAAACCTAATGGCTTCAAAATCCCTAGAGGTAATGAAAGAAAATGATTGACTTCTAAAGGTTATTGTTAAACAAATTTTTATGTTATTAAAAATTAAAAAAAGTAAACAACAAAATAAATTTTTTCTGTTGTAGGTAACTATTACCAATGTGATAATGGGTACACAAATGGTGAAGATTTTTTGTCCATACAAGGGTGTGAGATATCATTTAAAAGATTGGGGGGAAGGAAGGCTTACACCTCAGACCACTTACGAATTTTTGAACATGGCCCACTCCAAAGCTAGAAACGTGGTCGAGAGGTCTTTTGGTATTTTTAAAAAAAGATGGTCGATCCTACGTAGTCCGACGTTTTATGATATAAAAATTCAAAATAGACTGATTATGACTTGTGTATTACTACATAATTTTATTCGACGTGAGCTTCCGGTGGATCCCATGGAGATGATGATCGGAGAAGATGAACAAAATAAAGATAGTGGCGAGCACGACTTCTCATTTATTGATTGTGTTGAGAGCTCTGACCAATGGTCTGAATGGAGAAACACGTGAGCTGTGTCTATGTTTAACGATTGGAGATGTATTATCTGAGTGGATATGTATTTTTTTCATTGAAGTCAAATTGTGAGACATATGCACTCCTCTAGGTTTGAGATGTAATGAAAACTCAATTGTACTGATTGCTATGTTTGTAATTTTATGCTTCTGCAATTATTAACATGTTTGATGAGTAGTCTGCATATGTATTTCTATTGAATGCAATTTTTTGTTTCTTTGATAATGTGTACAACCATTTATATGTGTTTGTATTTATAGTAATGCAATATTGTGTTTCATTGATATTGTATATGACTGCTTTACTTGTATGTGTTTAATTGTAAAGTATAGTGATGATGAACTCTTCAAGAACAATGAACCCAAAACCGAGAAAACCACGGGCTGATAAGGGTCGAAGAAGTTGGAGGCGACGAGAGGAGGAAGTTCTTATTGCTGCCCTCAAAGGAATCATCACGAGGGATGGAAATCTGAAAATGGGTTTAAGATGGGCTTTCTCAATGTTCTTGAGCAGGAATTGGCGAAACAATTAAAAGGTAGTGATTTGGGAGGTATGCCCCATATCAACTCGAAAATCCATGTTTGGAAGAAAGATTATGGTAGTTTATGTACTATGCTATCACGAAGTGGTGTTGGATGGAATGAATCAGACATGATGATTGAATGTACTGAAGAAGCATGGGCGGAGTATGTGAAGGTATGTTTAAGAGACTACAATATTTTTAGCCATTGTTCTTAAAAAAAAAAAAAGTTTTTGTGTATTCAAATTTTCTTCAGGTTTGAACAATTCTTATAGTAATTTTTTGATTTGTTTAACATCAGGTTGATGCTAATGCTCGTCACACGCGTCACAAGTCGTGGCCATATTATTATGACTGGATCGAGATATTTGGAAAGGACAGGGCGACAGGAAATCAAGCTGAAGACCTTTTTGGTGCTGCTTGCAATGTCAATTTATCCTGCCATGCTCGGTCATCATCTCAACCTCTGGATATGGATATGAACGATGTCAACATTGAAATGGAAGAAGAGGTTAACGAGACAATGTTGGAAAGCACCCAACCATGTTCTACGGGGACGAAAAAAAGCGTCGGGCGTAAACGAAAGTCAGGTCAAAGTGTTGATCCTCTTTGTGAAATTATGAAAAAATATGTTGAAAACTCAAGTGCTCGTTTGGAGGAAATTGCGAAAAGGACAGGATATGACTATGATGTTTCAACTGCTCGTAAGGATGTTTTTTCTGCTGTGAATGAAATTGAAGGTTTAAACCTAAAAGAGACGTTGCTAGTCTCCAAAATTCTCGTAAAAAGTACAGACGAGTTGGATTTGTTCTTTAGCCTTGACCCTGTTGCCCGAGCTGAATACGTGCGAATGAAGCTGGCTGGAAATATATAGTGAGGCACAATCATTTTATTTCCATGTTATGAAGGCTGTATTTGGTTTGTTTTGGGATAAACTTTATTGTACTATGAAAGAACTAGATGATTGCAGCTGTTGAATTTCCTATAAGATTTGAGTATGTTTTGGTGAATGTTTTTGTGATCCTTCACTTTGTTTTGGTACAACTGCATTGATGTTAGTTTTCACTGTTTTGGATTAGAACATGTATGAACGATGTTTTGGATTGTTTTATGGGAAATGAATGATTAACATAAGATGGATTATTACATGTGTTTTATGTCTTGTTACATTTGTGAATGTGTTGACAATCTTGCATTACGGTTTATAGTTAAAATCATTGGAGACTGTTATGCATATCCTTTCATCATACATGTACACTTCCCTGTTAAAAGAGAATTGACCGCCCGGCTTGTGATTTCATTGGATCATATTGTCCAAAGAATAATCAAGGTGATCAAAGCAAAAGTCCTTTGTAGTCATATGAGTTGTTTATGCATTTTCGCAGTGTGCCTGAGATCTTGATAAAAGGCACAAGGTGAATCTAGTTTCTCCAAGATTTATTAACAGAAATATTCAAGGCTTGTAAGGTGATGTTGTAACGAACTTGGAATTTCTCTAATGAAACAATTATTTTGTAGGTTAAATAATGCAATGTTACAATCCAAGCCAATCGAGTTTGAAATCTATCCAAATAAATTGTTCACTCAATAAGCAAAATGTCTCACATACATACAATCAAATTATATACTACAGCACCTCATAACTTGTGGTAACAAAAGGCCACGGTAAAATATGTAAGCGACAATTGATGAAATAAAAACGGCGAGATTTTTTCATTAAAAAGATACGAACTTACACGGTACCGAAAATTAAAAAACTTCACGAATTACATACTTATTTCAACTCCTACCATCCTTCGAATTCGCATGAACCGTTGGCCATGGTAGATTATTAGATTCAAAGTTACTAATGAACAATACTAAGGCTTAAACACACTTGGACCCACCTAGTTAAAACATCGCTGTTTTTTGTGTCGAGCTTAGATGCCCATTTTTTGTACGAAGACGACGAAGATGCAGTGGAACTGTTTGGAATATCATAAATGTCGTCATTGTTGTTGTCCCAATCGTGCGAGGCCCAATGCTTTTTGAACTTGCTCAAAACAATGGAGGTGGAAGTTAAGGTGCTCGGTGGTTTTTCCGGGTCAGGAAGAGAGGAAACACAAGCAAGGTCGTAATGGAAACAATTATTTGTGTTGTCAGAGTCATTTTCAATAGCCAGGTGGGGATTACCGTCTTCGTCATTGTCTCCATCTTCATCGGCATTGTCCTCTTCATCGTGATCATCATTGTATTCTTCATCTTCATCGTCAGTAATGTGAATCACTTCATTTGGCTGCCCACGCGCGTTCATGGTATCGCCTCCGAACAAAATTTTCATTGCTTCGAGAGCAGATTCTCCTTCCTTTATGTAGGCCATCGCTAGCTTTTTTCATTCTACGATATTTTAGAACATTACTCGAATGAACTTAAATGGACAACCATGCTAATATTTAATGGAAAAAAAATCAGAAATAAACTTACCCGAATAAGATGCTCCCAGGTAAGTTGGCTCGCATCAACTTTATTGTTTATAAGAGTATACACAACACCACATTGTTGGATCATCCATGAAAAAACTTTATAGCGTTTGTGGAGCTTACGTACCTTTTCTTTGCAATATGCAAAATCGAAGTTCTTACCAAATTCTTCGTTGACGACTCCCTGTGCACTCAGTATAGCATGATGGTTTGGACGACCCACCTGAAAATTTCCCGCAGCCGCATGCTCAACCAACTCTTTGACAAACCTTGTTTCAATCTCCCTAATCCATTCCCCAGAGTAAAAAACCTTACTTTGTGAAATAGAAGATTTCAAAATGTTTTTTGGAGCCATTGAACTACAACCAGTTTGGTTAAGAAAACTAGTGTTTAGTATTTTACAGTCTTATTTTCTTTTGTTGCTTCTTCAAAATGCATGGTGTTAACATCTTTATATAATAGTTCTATTGCATAGTGAGGACATTACATTTCATGCACGTAAAAAACAGAACCTTAAAGTTTCCTTCAGTTTATTTTTATTTATTTTTTTTTTGTTCCCTGTAGAGAATATATTCTTCTTACTTGATATTGAAAAATTCAATTGCAAAATATTCTAATTCCTTTGAATGAAAATGTGATTGACTGAAGGGAATATGTAAGAGAATATGAATATATTCTATATACTATAACAAGCTATATGTCCAAACTACTTTATAAAGGAATATATTCCTTTTTTGCCATAAAATGCTATCAGACAAACTGATGGTGGTTTTGTTCATGTACCAACAGATAAAACATAACTCTTCCTTAACTAACAAATAAGTTTTCGTCTTCTCCATCCCACACATAATTGTGTTCCAATTGTAGTTGTTTTTTGCATGTTATGTAATGTATTTGTATATATGATTTGCAGTTGTTATATGAATTGTGTGTGCTTAACAAACAACTGCCTTCATATGCTAAACCAGTTGTTTTGTCTTATGTGTTTCACCACTTATGCAAAATTCCAAGCCATTGTTCTCTCTTGAAACCTCAAATTTGGTGGAGCCTATGTACATTTGATTTAACTAGATTAATGCATGCAAAATTTCTCATGGTTTTCTGCAGACATTCTTTCAACTGATTACTGTATATACAATACATATAGTAATGCTTGTTTTCTTGTGTTTAGCATTCTATTTATATTGTTTGTCTTTTTCATTCCCCTTTTGCAATTATTTTCTCCTGGTGGACTTTCTTGTTTTTCATGAGGTGGCATTAAGCATAGTTTTTTGCAATGGCTCAGTAGTGGCAAGTGGGATGATGCAAAATAATTTCATAAGGGTCACATTTTTTTCCAAGAGAGAACATTTTTCTAAAATCACATAGAATTTTTCTTCCTAATGTAAGACAATGAAGTTTTATGTATTCTTTCCCAAACTCAAGTACATAGGACATTTAAAGTGTTTCCTTGGAATTTTTTTTCTTCATTTCCTAAATTTGTAAACATTTTTTCACCAATAATCTTACATTTATTTCCTACAGAAAGTTGAGGTAGTTGGTGTAGCTTCTCTTTTTTTTTTTTTTTTTTTTT